TAGTGTGTATGAGGAGGGGGTTCGACACCGGGGTCGCGTTCCCGTTGCCGGTCCCGGTCCGGTATGGGCGCGACACTGAGGGTTGCGATCTGTTGCCGGACACGAAAAAAGACAAAAAGGGAAAAAAAAAAAAAAGAAACATAAAGATAAATGTTTGAAGAAAAAGCTAAAAAAAAGTTGAAAGCGGGTTGCGATCTGTTGCCGGACACGAAAAAAGACAAAAAGGGAAAAAAAAAAAAAAAAAGAAACATAAAGATAAATGTTTGAAGAAAAAGCTAAAAAAAAGTTGAAAGCGTTTGCCTTGGGAGAATAGAAACCAGTTCTTGTGAGGGCTGGGGCAGAAGACTGCAATTTTTTATAAGCTTTTCTGTATTATTTTAAAGATTTACACCACACATTTTAACTTTGATGAAAATAAAGTAAAATTAAAATTCAGTGGGGAGCATCTGTTCCGCAAACAATCCACATATTGAATACTCTTACAGTTCCAAAACTCTGTCATGTAAATACAGTTAATCTATTCAAATGAAGTTAAGAGGTTGAATGAGAAAAAACGTTTATCTTTCTAATTTAAACATAACTAATTTGGGCGGCTGGCAGGTTAGCTCAGTTGGTTAGAGCACAGCCTTATAATAAACACCAAGGACACGAGTTCAGATCCCCATACCAGCCAGTCCCCAAAAAACAACAAGAAAAAAACATAATTAATTTGGAATCTGAAAAGGAACAACTAATTATATGGGCTTTTTCTGTGAAAAACACCTAGAATATCACAACTTAATGTACATGCAAAATTTAACAAATTTACCATCAAGAGCAGTATGATCAATAAATATAGAAAGTTTACCTTGTAAAAGTTTCCATATGACTTTCGAATATTGATCCACTTTTTAGCAAAAGGAGGGTATTTGAGCCTGCTGAGTTGGCACTGAACGTTCAAAAACTTACTCATATCCCATGAACTTAGAAATCAAAAACAGGGGAAAAAAAATAGATCAAATAAATGTTATATTATTTTTACAAATGAGTATTTTAAGTCATTCTATTTCTTTTTCACTTACACATGTTACGTTACTTTCTCATATTTTCACATAACATTGAGCTTTAAGTAACCCCACTTTCTACAAAACACTATTTATTTTTGGTGGCTTGCTGGTACAGGAATCCAAAAACTTTAAAAAGCAAAAAAAAAGTTGAGCATACTAAATTTTTTTCACGAATTAATTCTTGTTAGGTTCATTTTGATTGTTTGTATGATTCTGATTATCTGGGAAGACTTCTATCTTGCTGAGAATTTTTTCATAATTCTAAATAACTGCCAAATTTAGTTTTAATGCCAGGTTTATCATAACAGTAAGTTCTTTGAAGGTATGCTTTGAAATAAAATACAAAAACAAACAAAAAACCTGAAACAGGCAAAAGTAGCTGGTATCAAGTAGTTAACAACTCAGCTGCTATACTGGCAACAGGACCACTTTCAAATGAATTTTAAGAAAATTAAAAACAAGTACCTGTCCCTGGGATTCTACTACTTCTGTGCATTTTTAATATCTTCTGAGACAAACTCCACCTACATTGGGCTACTCAAATTATTTCTAGAAGTATCAAATTATTGTTTTTATTAGTGCTCTGGTTACAAAATCAATTAATTTCTGAATGACTTGTGTCCCAGACTGTGAGGTTTTTACAGAACCGCATATCATGTGTTATGACAGAAACACCTAACACATTATACTTTAGCAGGAACATTGCCATTCATGAAATCAATAATAGACTGCTGAAGAGGTACATCAACATCAATCTTTTTCCAAACTTCTATTTTCAAACACAATTATGATGTGATTAAATTCAATGATCTGCTCTTGTTGTATGAGAGGGTATCTAAACCCTCTATGTTGGCAACATTTCAACTTTAAAGTATACAGTTTGAAACAGAAGTTGATTAGGACTTTTTTTTCTATGGACCTTGATGGCATATGGCATAGGAGTTGCCCTGGCACAATGCCTGTAATCTTTGTTTTAATCTTTCTGGTCTTCCCATTTGGCTTTTAACAAATACTCTTTGAGCTTACACTTTGAGCTCAGCACTGTAGAAAGCACTATAGAAGACTATCAGGCAGCAAAAATCCTTACTCTGAAAGGATTTTTAATTTCCTTGCAAAAATAAGTCTTACATACATAAAGATTAAATATCAGAATATATGGTCAGATGTCAACATAAATGGGACATATCATAGAGATTATAAGACTTCAAGGGGAAAAAAAAAAGATCAGTGTGAGCTGCAGTGTCTGGATAAACACAAGGCTTTGAATAGTGATACAGAAGTAGTTAAGAAGAGTCTCTCAGTAGAGAAAAAAGCATGAATAACAAAATAATTAAAAAGTTAAGCCACGTGAATTCATGGGCCAGCCTGACTAGAGTAAAAAGAAATAGTGGCAGGTGGATCATGCTAAACAAGTAGGGTGGGATGAGATGAGAGAACCTTGAATGCCAAGCTGAATGGTGTGAACTTTTTTGAGCAAGGAAGTGTCATGATAAAAACAGTGTTGTAGTAAAGTCACTTTAGTTTTACATATAAATATTTATCTTTCTCTAGTACTTCAGTCCTGGATCAGACTGTTATCACTGCTTCCCCTCTTCTCTTTCATCTCCAGGATTCAAAATTTAAGTAGGAGTAAGAATGTAAAAGGGAAAATACCATTTCTGGTAGGGTGACTCTAGGATCTTTAATACATATTTCTGTGATTACTCTAAAAGTTAAATGAATCAGGATATTTTTAATCTTAAAAAGTAGACCAAAAAAATAAAAAAGATAATTTTCTTAAATACTTACCCATCTGTTAATATGGAATATTTATACTTTGTTCCTAATTCCTTCAATTTCATCCAGTCAATTACCTTTTTTAAGACCTGAGGGAAGGTATCAGCTCTGTCTACCTGATCCTGAGGATATAAAAGTAAAATATATAAAAATCAGGGCATCTACATGTAATCTTACACTAAATACCCAGACATAAGTTGGAAGTAAAGAACAGTATGAGAAAGACTTATCTATGTCTTAAACTCTTCATGATTTCTCTGACTTGGATTAATCTGAAGTTTCACTTAAGACAATTAAAGTCTTTATAGCTAAGTATTAAGGACTGCTTTAAACTGAAGTATATAGGTCTCCCAAAATTAAGATTTCAGATCATCCCCAGTAGTTCTCGTTTCACAGGCCTCAACTTAGTGACTTACTGATTTCTCCAGAGTGGAGAAAAGGGAAACACCATTTAGCTGAAAACCACAGTACCCTGCGTGGTCTCCCCATTACAAGTCTCAAACCTTCCACACCATACTACTCACCGCTGCCAGACGGACCTTCCTAAAATGTAAGTCTGGTCCATCGCATCACTCTCACACTTAAATTCCTCCAACACTTTCCAAGGCTTTCAGGATAAAAATATGCACAAGACCCTTCAAGATCTGGCTTGCCTCTGCCTACCTCGACCATCTTCTCACTAGCCCATACACACTTGAAACACCCTGAACTACCTGTAGTTCTGCCATTTCACAGAACTACAGGTAAAGAATGCAATATCCAGCCATTCTTTTCAGACTATTTACCTATCATGACTCAGCCCAAGTTCACCACCTTGAGGAAGCTTTTCCCAGGACAGCCCTCCATTCCCTCTGTCACATACGGAAGCCCTTTTTATAGACTCCCCAAAAACCCTGGCGGAACATTGACTTGTCAGTCTTCCTAGCCATATTGTGTTCACTGGTTTATTCTGTCTCTCCTCCTGACTTACAGACTGTAACTGAGCTGAGGACAGAGACTGACTTGACTGTCTTTGTATCCCTCGTACCTTGGCATATATTGCAGTAGGCATTTAAATATGGGTGGTGTGAATGAATGAAGGAAGGAATAGCTAAATAAATGAACAAAGGGCCTACCACATTAGAATCAAATCAGACACCTAAAAAAATATTGCAGTAGGCATTTAAATATGGGTGGTGTGAATGAATGAAGGAAGGAATAGCTAAATAAGTGAACAAAGGGCCTACCACATTAGAATCAAATCAGACACCTAAAAAAGTTGAGCTATATACAGTCACGTTGTAAACAGACATTCTAAAACTTAACTCCAAGCTCAGTATGTTAACTCACTTTGCTAATGCTTCGTTTTACAAATGAAACCTTTAGATTCACCATTACAGCTCCTTGAAAGGAAAGGCTGAGAAAAATACTACCAGGTATAAAATTTCCTTTTATGTATTTTTCTTAATATTACACTATGAAAGATCTTTACCAAGCAAGAAAAGTATCTATCACATTAATTTAAATTGTTCATAACAATAATTATTTTTTTAAACTATCTATAAAATAAATTCCTAATTTCAAAACCTCTTTCACACGCTAGAGAAAAGAAGACAGCATTATAACCTGAGTAATTCCAGTAAGATTGATGCAGAAATCAGAAAGCTGTGAGTTTATCTCTGGTCTCACATACTGCTGAAAGGTATCTTCCTACAAAGAAAAGACAAAAAGTTAAAGCACTCTACATGACTTCAGATACATGACACGATACACAACAAATCCAGAAGTAACAGGTTGTCATTTTTTAGGTGTTCATAGATCTTTCCAGAGTTTTAAGGATAATTCCTCTCACCCAAAGCACCCTAATTTTTAAATTAAAAAGTTAAAAAAATTTACATTAAAAATTTTTTAAGATAAAGCCAGTATCTGAAAGCAAGCCTTCAAACAAAAATTTAAATATTTTCCTGAGAAGAAAAATGTTGATAATTTTGTTTATAATATTTTAAAACTATAAAGCCTATTAATGCAAGCTCTACTTCAAGACACTAAGTTTTTAAAATAATGATAAATTCTTTTGAAGAAATGGCAGTTTCAAGTTATAATAAGTTAGCTCCGGGTTACTGCCTTCTCACTTCCGGATAGCCTTTCTTTTCATATAAAGATTCAATTGAACTAAATTCTGAACACTCAAAACTTAACTATATGTATATAGAAGTTTAGAGGTAGAAAATACTATATTTGTGCAACAATTTTTAACTTCTTCAAGCAGCTTTCATGCTGGCTTTCTTATTGTATATGGAGAAAAAGACAAAGAATATTCTTTGTGGCAGAAGATTAAAATATTAGGAAAAGTAAATGTTTATATTTCCTAAGAATAAATTTTTTTTGCACACTAATCTTTAAGCAGATATCTATAAATGGTTGCTAAGAATTGCAAAAGAGCAAAGGTAAAGAACAGCAAAACACCTGAACTTCAAAAATTAGACACGGTTTACTTACCAGACATGTTGCAGAAAAATTCCATTGAATGAAATACCATACATAAATGAAGTCTATATCCTTTTAAGTATCATTATTTTGTTTATAATTTTAAATGAAAGTCTTCCAAAAACATATTGCAATTTCCCTTACCATTACAATCAGGTAATACTAAATATAACAAACATTAACAAAATTTCATTCACTATTTAATACTTTTAATAGAATAATTCTATAGAAAACTAAGCATTCATTGATCAAATATTTAATCATCACTTAAACTACATACTAAATTAAAAAGTGATGAAGGTTATGAAAACTAAAGGAAAATGAGAGTAAGTAAAGGGGATCAGAAACACTGGGTGTGTGCAGATGTTCATAAGCTACAGTATTGAACAGGATAATCAGATAGGCTTCATTTAGAGGTGAGATTTAAGGAAGAATTGGGACCAGGAAGGAAGGAAGAGAGGAAAGGAGGGAGGGAGGAAGGAAGAGAGAGAGGGAGCAAAGGAAGAGAGGGGGGGGGGGGGGGGGGAATTAGCTAGGGAGACTTCCCGGGGAAGGGAACTAGAGCTAGTCTTGGAAAGTGAGAGGTGGAGCATGCCAGGCATTTTGAAAAGCAGCGGGGGGGGGGGGAGGAGAGAATTAGCTAGGGAGACTTCCCGGGGAAGGGAACTAGAGCTAGTCTTGGAAAGTGAGAGGTGGAGCATGCCAGGCATTTTGAAAAGCAGCAAGCAGGATGGCATGGCTGGAGTGGAATGAGTGAGGCAAAGAATAGTAAGAGAGGAACCAATCAGAGCTAACAAGAGGGCAAATCATGAAAGGAATGTGACTCTTATCTGAGTTAAACAGGAAACCAGAGCAGGGTTTTGAGCAGAGGAGTGAAATGATCTGACTTATATTTTAAAAGGATTACTCTAGCCACTATGTTGCCCTGTGTTAAAAACTGACTTAGGGGGACAATAATAGAAACACACAGACCAATCAGATGGCGAATACAACAAATCCAGACAAGAAATGATTAGGGCTCAGACTGGAGTCATAGTAGTTCAGTTAAGGGGCTGAGTTCTGGATATATTATGAAGATAAAGACAAACAAGAATCACTGATGGTCTGAATGTGTGATGTAAGAGAAACAGAGTCAAGGATGACTCCAAAGTTTCTGAACTGAGCAACTAGATTAGAATTAGAAAATGTTGCTATCACCCAAGCCAGGGAAAGCTGAAGACAGAACAGGTTGGAGGTAAGTTCAACCTGGGACATATTAAGATGTCTGTTTAGATGTCCAAGTAAAAATGTCAAGTAAGCAGTATGGATTTGGGACAGAGGTCCACATTGGAGAAATATATTTGAAAGTCATCAGCATAGATAGAGTTTCTAAAAGCTATCGAACTAGATGAGATCATCAAGGGAGAGGATGTAGGTAGAGAAAAAGAGATAGGATTAAGCCCTGGAACATCTGATATTAGGAAGTTGGGAGGAAAAGGAGAAACCAGCAAAGGAAATTGCAAAAGGAGAACCTAGTAAGGCTGGAGGAAAATCAAGAAGAATGAAGTGTACTGGCAGTCACTTGAAGAAAATGTTTCAAAAAGGAGAGTGTAGTCAATTCTATCACGAAAAATCAAGAAGAATGAAGTGTACTGGCAGTCACTTGAAGAAAATGTTTCAAAAAGGAGAGTATAGTCAATTCTATCACGGTTTAGGTAAGAGTCGAAGATGACGCTGATAAGTGATTTTAGTGGAGTGATGGGATGGAATATACAGCTTAAACTTAACTGAATGCAAACCCACAGTGGTATGGGTTGAAGAGATAATGGGAGGAAAGGAAACAGAGATAGGAGTATATTTAACTATTTGAAGAATTGTGCCATAAAGAGGAACCAAAAAAGGGGTAGCTGGCAGTGCAGTGGGATAAAGTGAAGATGTGAAAAATAACATGTCTGTATGTGATGGGAACAATATAGTAGAAAGCAACACATCATAAAAGCCTGAATGAAAGAGGAGAATCACGAGAGCAATTTCCTTGAGTAAGAGAGGAAGTAAAAGTGAGCTCTGCAAGATTATTTACTTTCATAGCTGCCATTTTTCCTTTTAATTTATTTACCTTTAATTTGCTTTGGGCAAGGAAATTATAGAAATAGACTGATTAAGAAGATAACTAAAAGAGGCTCTGAAAAGCACTAAGAAAAATCTACGCATTTTAATGCACAAAGCCTTTTTATACTTACTCACATTGAGTTGGTGGCAACTGGCAATATCACAGAAGTGACTTTTGGATAGATCAGATGTTATGATATATCCTCACTCAGATTTTATAAGGCAAACAATATTATCTTAGATAACTCTTGTTATGACTTCCTGAACTAATAATGCACTGACAGGTATACAAAGCACACATATTATATGGCTTAGAAACCAAGGTTATATAAGTCATCTCCCCCATGAACTTTCCACCCAAAAAGATGGCTAGTTCTAGGTTGAAAGGTGATTTCTGTAAATTATCATTCTTAGAGATCAGAGTTCACATTAGGCTACAGCACGGTTCTCAATCCTGACTACATTTTAAAACCAACTGAGAAACTTAAAAAAAATTCTGATCTCAGGGTCCTACCAGAGAACAACTAAATTAGAATCTCTAGAACTAGGACTAGGCATTGTATTTTTTTTTTTTTTAACTATCCAGGAGATTCAGAGTCCACCCAGATGTTCTAAGCAAACAGAAAAAACACTATAAATACAGCTACTGGAAAAGGAGAGATGTAGTCTCTGAAATTGCTTTATTACAGCTTTTCTGTTAATCAATCTGATACAAACTTCACAACAAGAGCAAAAAGCCCACTTTCAGAATTCCAACTCTAGCTAAAACAGCAAATGAGATCCTCCACTTTACTAGTAAACACCAGAATAGCTGCTGCTAAAAATAAAACTAAAATATATTGTGCAAAGGCATGGACTTTAAGATGAGTCCCACTATTAGTGTGACAAAACTCTACTGTAGACCTCTAAGACACTGTATAAGGCCTATACATTTACTCCTTCTGAGGAGTTTCACTAAGTGGGTGGAGATTTCCTCTTGACGTTTATGCTTTAACAGTTGTTTGGGGGAACATATTTCAGTCACACATATATATTTAATGTTTTGTATTTTTTCTAATTTAATTTTTTTTTTGGCAGGTGGCAGGTCTGGAGATCTGAACCCATGACCTTGGGGTTGTAAGGCTGAACTCTAACCAACTGAGCTAACCAGCCAACCTTAATTTTATTTTTAACTGACAAATAATAATTGTATACATTCATGGGGTACAATGTGATGTTCTGATATATGTTTACACCGTGAAATGAGTAAATCAAGCTAATTAACATATAGCAAAAAATACATAACAATGCACTTACTATTTCTAAGGTATGCGTATTCAGTAAAACAACAGGAAATTCAATTATTTCATGTATGAACTCAGATGGGTTACCCTCTTCACAAGTGGCTTCAAAGTCAATAATACAAATGTAGTCATAGTAACTGTCAGTACAACTGCTCTCTTTCAACATCAACTTCTGCTTCTTATAATAGTTTTTCAGTCTTTTCTTCAGTACATCCTTTACCCCTCTAAGTAAAAGAAGAATAAAATTACTCTTAGCTGAATTTTACAGTCAAGAATCAGAATTCTTACCTGATGGCACTGGGCTGAACAATGATAGTCACAGCATAATTTAGCAAATGGTAGCTAAAATAAATACAAGGAAAGCAAAACTGAAAGCTAAGTTATCAAAGAATTACAATAAAATGTTTAATAAAACATCAATGTTTTCCTTCACAAGTAACTTTTCATCTTAGTAGTACATAAAAGCATTTTCTCCAAGCCTTGTCAGCTTATAACACTGACACGGCCACATGCCTAACATACTAAGATGACATACATGATACAAAAACTGAAATTAATATTCAATTATTCTATTGCCCCAATACAAATTTCAGAATAGGAAAATTCAGGTAAATTTCACATATTACGCTATATCTTTCCTTTCTTTTGGCTTTTGTAGGTTAGACAACTTAACAAATCCATATGAATAGGAAAGCATTATGAGCCTCACATACAAAGCTGAATGTCTGTCAGCTACTTAACTAGGAAAACTAATTTAGAAGATATCCTAGAGAAAACTGTGTTCAGAGGAACATTATCACACTCAGCAGGTTCTCAATTGGAAGTAGGTTTTTAAATTTTATCATGGGTACAGTATGATTTAGGGGATTTCAGTATACAGACAGCTTAAAATATATGTTTCACAAATGGAGTGGGGGGAGGAGAGAGGGTCCTCCTACAAAAATAACAATGGCTGGTAATGGTGATCACATTCTCCAAACAGAATGTATTTCTTCAAAAAATTAAGTCACAACTAGTGCTCAGACTTCCTTTAGTGTTACCTAGTTGAATCACGTACTGGCCTGCAAATACAATATAGTAGTAAAAATAAGAGGATCTAAACTGCAATGAACACGCAGTGCCAGGTAAGGCATTTTGGTCACATCGCCAATCAGTGGCTATTAAAAAATTTTTTTTACTCTTTTGTTTTCCTTTCTAAACTACAACTGAAGCACCAAAAAGGAATCCTACTCGAAAACACTGATAACCAGTTTGTTGTTTTAAGACAAAACATCATAATGTTTATTTGCTTAGGATTTTCCAAATTACTAAAACCTAGTAAGAAACCCTTTAACCCATTTCATATTAAAGTACTGTGAGTGACCTCTGTGCCATGCAATGACTTTGGACTACTTTGTCTTTTTTCTTTCCTTTTTTTGGAGAAACTATATTTACTAAAGGGATGCCTACAAACTTAGCAGCAGCACAAACATAACCAGTTGCTCAGGATAGAAACCTGTCATCTTTAACATATCCCTTGCTCTTTCATATCCAAATACTCACCATTTTTGCCAATTTGAACTCAGAAAAATATTCAGCATCTAGTTCTCCTGAATTCTCTCTGCTATGGCTCCCATTAGCTTCTTGGACAATGGCAAACACCTCCACTATCATCACTCTCCAACTCACTCTTTACTTGAGAACTGAGCACTAATACCAATTTCCTGCTTAAATATCTTCAGTGGCTCCCTTCTGCTTATAAGGTAAAATGCAGACTTCTGCATAGATTCCTTCACAACTTGGCTACAACCTATCACTTCAGTATCATCGTCAAACGTTCCTGCTCTCCATGATACAGGTTCATCATGTACTGCAGACAAAACATACTATAAGCCGTGGCCTGAATATGTGGTATGTGTTCATGTTCTAAACCTCCAGCTGTACAAGAGCTGAAGAAAAGGTAAGATCATGTAGCAGAAAACATACAAACAGGAACTAGAAAAGTCTTTGAGTTCTTTTGGCCAGAAATACCTCCCTCCCTTTTCTGCTTGGCACAATTCAAATGTTCAAATGTCACCTTCCCGAATTCCTGAGAAATACTGTCCTCTGTATTCTCACGCTGTCCTTGGCCAGACCTCCAATATATCTCTGGCCACTCTGTATTGTGATTATTTGTTTGTGTGTTTTCTCAAAAGACTGAGATTTCCAAAGTGGGGAACATATCTGTATTTACCCTTTATAACTTCAATGCCTAGTGTAGTGCTTAGAATTCAATACAGGCTTGTTGAATAAATGCATAAACATACATCTATATTTCTAGCTCCCACGCAAGCCAGGAGTAAGCAATTGATCTTCACACCTGAGAAGGACAAAAATTTTGCTCAGAAAATCATCTGTAGGCTACAGGCTATACCTTTATAATAGAAAGAGTCAGGGCAAAATGAAGCCAAAATTTTCTTCACAAATTATGATGTAGACAGTCTAGAAGGGAAAAAATATATTTGTGCTCACTTGAAATCCAGTGAAGCTCTATTTTAAAGCAAAGAGGAGGAATACTACTTATAAGAGAATAAGGATTCAAGGATGTCCTGAAACAACAGCTTTCATCTATTACATATAGTCAAGTTTTGTCTTGATGCCTAGCAGTTCTATTGTTTATCAAAATGTATATATATTTTTCCTGGACTCCAAAAGTCGTGCCAAGTCAAAATAAAGTGATAGGTTTTGCAAAAAATTATTGAAAACTTAGGTAGGTGTACATATCATTAAAAACATACACAGTTGAGTAAACTGCATTGTTTTCTCATTCAATATACAGTTAAACATAATGCACACTGTCACTCTGCATTTTTAGAAACTAAAACAAAAAAGTATATCCTGGTTAAGTGATTTTTTTTTTTAAATTACCTGATTCCAAACAAACCCTCTTTGTAAAAATGATACAAATGGACAAAAGAAAAATACTGAATCTCATTAATAAGATATAATTATCCATCAACTAAATGAGCAACTAAAAAATAGAAAACACACTTGTTATGATGAGATAGATACCCTTCAACATTGCTGGCAGATCATTACAATATTTGTAGACTTTGACTCAGCAATCCTATTCTACCATCTAAAGGACTGACAAAAATAATCACAGTTGCATACCAAGACTCACAAACAAGAATTTGTTATTTGAATCATTAATAATGGTTATTTCTTTACAGTACGATTACAAAAGATTTTTAATTTTTTGGTGTTTTCAGGATTTTCTAAAATGAGCATGAACTACTTTTATAATTTTAAAAAGTTATTTTTAATTACCTTGTTTCAAGCTTGAATTCTGAAAGTTTAGCTCTAAGTTCTTCCTTACTCATTCTATTAATACAACCATTCGTAATAGCAATCTCTTTGTAAACTGGGTCACTGAAATCACTTGCGTTGGAGGTAATGAACTTAGATCCTTTTGTTTCTTGGCCATCATATCTACACCGTTGCTTTTTCTACCAAAAGAAAAAAAAAAGGATATAGTTTATAATTAGCATAAACACCATAGATTTAAAGACTCAAACTCCTGAGGCCTCTTCATGATACACGTTTGATGAAAAGTACCCATTGCAGCTCCTGGAGGGAGGACAGAATAGGAAGAAGAGAGATGTGTTTCCAATACAATTTACCCTGCTCTATTGAGTCATGAGGTTCCTCAAAGGCAATGAAGCTAAGTAAAAAGAGAACTCTGGTGTTGGAGTCTGAGCCACCTCAGTACAGAGCCCCAGGTGACCATTTACTAGCAGTTTGATCTTGGGTAGTTACTTATTAGCCTCTGATCTCCAGTTTCCTTATCTATAAAATATATAGTATGTCTCAAATGGTATTTGGTAGTGGTAAATAAAGGTAAATAGTATTTAGGCAGAATTATTATAAGGATTAAATGAGATTATATATATCAGGCTCCTGATACACATCCACAGTGGCTATAAATGGTAACTTATTACCATCACAGGCTATACCCCTTTTCATAAACAATATTCTAAAATTTAAATGAACCAATTTTTAAATGGACTTTTACATTATGCATGTATAAGTCAGTGACTTCCTGAGAATTTTTTATCCAACTTCATTTCATGAAGTTAACAGAACTCGCCCAACATAAAAACAAAATAGACTGCAAATCTAGTTCAAAACTTTCTAGTACCCAAGGCAAAGAATGAGATGTACTCCGTTCCAAAACTCATAATTTCCAAGAGTTACATGTACATCAGTTATTCAAGAAAACTGTAGAGTTACTATATTATAAACCTTTTCTCCTTCAGTGAAGTTCTGGCCACAACCAAAGTCCAGTTCTCAAGTTTTCCTCCCAAATTTCAGGTCTACATTAATGGTTCCCTAAAAAAGGATGCTCAAGTCAATCTACTAAGGTGTAGACAAAAATATTAAAAAACTCTAGATATATTATTAATCTATATAAGCACAATATTAGTTTACTAAGTTAGTAGATTGGCACTGGCATCTGCTCAGTCTCTATGTCCAACTGTCACATGTCACATACAGTAGTAGTCATATCATGAGAAAAGTGGAGATGGGTTCAACAATATAGAAATATTTGCCTTCACAAAACTGACATTTTGAAATTTTCATGTGCCCAATTAAGTGGATGTATGGTTTATATTATCTCAAATAAGAGAATTGTTTACATTATGGGAAGTGGCCATGGACATCTTTTGTACCAAAAAGAGGTTTGCTACCTTGTGGCAAAGTATTTTAAAGTGTTGTTGAACTAAAAGAGGAGTTACATATCTTCTTTCACAAATATGAAAAGGACAAAATTGCTGTCTTTTTCTTATTTAGAAGAGGATTGTAGCTTGATCCTTAGAAGTTTTTTTTAAATGAACACTATCTGTTGTTTCAAGATGAAAAAAAATGTCTTAACAATAAGCTAGAAAGTAAATGCATATCAAAAGAAAATTTTCTGTACAGAAGACATTTTGAAAACACGTTTTGAAAATGTTTCCATTATTTTGTTGCCAAAAAACCATGCATCACCTACTTTAAAAAGAAAACTTGTTCATCTGCATGCTGGAAAAAAACAGAATTTTTCTTAATCAAAATTTTTAAAAAGAAGATTTCTGATGAAATTCGAACCTACTTGTTAAAAATATAAAAACACAACAGCTTCCATTAGTAACAAAAGCTGACATTAAGGATAAAGGAATTTTACTAGCTGAATTCCAATCAAAAACTTTGCCTAACTGGGGTTGAAAAAGAATTGTATCGTCATTTTGTAAAAATATCCAAAAATAAGTTTTTAACAAATATGGTAGTCATTAAATCCAATCTGGAACACTGACACAGGCCTCAAGTTGCTATATCTCAAAGTTTCAAAGACTTTCAAATATAATGAAGTATATATTCAAAGACACTTCTCTTACTAAAAATAAGCTTCTGAAAATTAATGTTAAAACTGACTTACAGGGTGGAAGAGTGGTTCTCTATAGAGAGGAAACATGGAAGGCCTCTTTGAAAGCAGCAACTTAAAAAGCAGAATGACTATGTAAAAGTCACAAGAAACACAAGTCAAAAGAACACAAGGAAGCCAGGAGAACTTAGAGCAAAAGAGAAAAACTGTGTGAGATGCAATTAGCAACGGAGGCAGGAGCCAGACCCCACCAGGCAGCAAATCTTAGGTACTGAGGGGAGTACGCCAGTCAAATTCATGTTGTTCTAAGATCACTGTAGCTGCAACGTGAAAACTGACTGTAGATGGAAGCAGCAAGAGCTAGGACGCCTTTTGCAAATACCCAGTTTATGAGGTGCTCAACATTTGCTAGTTATTGCTAGAAAAAGACCAATTTTAGTATCAGATTATTTACCCCCCGCAGCGCTAGTCAACGATAATTATATTCCTTAGTTAAGACCGTCTTACAATTTTGCCAAGGTAGATAGGTTCTACGAGAGAGATGTCAAAACATGAAGAAAATCAATCATACACTATGTCTACACGAGATAGTAATTACACAGGCAAAAATAAGAGACGAGGCTCGAACTAATAGTTGCAAAGAAGGAAATAGGCTGGTGTGCACTTTTTTAATTAAAAAAACCCCCCACAAAACCCTCAGAAGAGATATCCCTAGAGCATACGGTGCGATTTTAAAGAAACATCACCTGACCACTTACCGATCAGGGCTGGAAAGAACGGCCCCCGCGACGGTGAACACAGAACGTGTGGAGCAGAATCCCCACCCAGAACTTACAAACCGCACTTCACAGAACTCCTCGTCTTCCCTGTTTACTGTCGCCCCGAGGGGAACCCGGCCCTGCGAGAACTCATTGACAGGCACCCCGAGCACAGGCTCCCGGGGCGGGGGTTGAGGGGCGCGCAGACCGCAGGTGCCGCGGAACCCCTTAGAAGAAAGGGGTGCCCGGGGCTCGCGGGGGCCCGGGGCGGCGGGCGCAGACGGCGGGGCGCGGGCCGACTCCTCACCTCAGGCTTCGGAAGCGGCGGCTCCTCCCCACACTCCGGCCGCGGCGACTCCTGCTGCGCGGGAGCCACGGCCTCGCCGCCGGGCTGTTGGTTCGGTTGGTCCTCCATGCCGGCTGTCACGCCAGAAGACAGCTGCTGGGGCCGGATACTCGCTCACGCTCACTCGGCCAAGCCCGACAGCCTCGCCTTTCTCCGTTGAGAAATGACCGGCCTCGCGTTCCCGCGGCGGCGGCCACACAAACTCCAGCGGACACCTCCCACTTCCGGGAGCGTGTGGCGTCCAGACGCCGCGCAGGCGCAGTGAGGCTGCGCGCGGAACGCGAGCGCGCCTGGCGCGGTGGGGCGGGAGGACGGTGGGCGCGGACAGCCCTGAGGTAACGCGTGTGGGAGTTACTAGAGGGTCTACACTGGAGCACCGGAGGATACCACCGGAATATATGACCCCATCGGCATTTATTCTGGGGGTATCACAGAGAAAGCTGCTTTTCACCATAACCAACATCGTTTATAAAAACAATTTACATTTTCCGTAAGGAGTTTTAAGACTTCCTTCCTGGGCAAGAAGAGGGAATGGGTCTGGACTTAGTGGCCCGTTGGAAGCGATTAGAAAACTGAACGAAATAGACGAAACAACTCCAGATATTGGACGACAGGCAGCTCTGGACCGTTTTACCTGAGAGAAGAGAAAAGCCAGACGAGCGAGCCCGATGTCACCCTGGCTTTCTGCCTGGAGGCAGTTTCCAGTGTGTGGTGCAGAGAAGAAACGGAGAGACCCCGGGGCTCACTGAGCTGAAAAGACAGGGATTGGAGCTTAGGGAATGGGGGAGGCCAAGTTGGTTGGAATTTGTGGGGCAGAGATCTCGAGAAGAGGGAATTACATGGAATGAGAGCTTCAGAAATCTGCTTAGGAGTACCTCTGAATCTTTAGCTGAATAAAAATCCGTGAATATGCCATGTGAAACTCAAAGGCTAGGAAAGAGCAATTATTGGGGAGCAGTAGACCAAACAATTGTCAGCTCACACAGGGCTGGGAATCATTTGAGTTCCAAACAATTAGAGTGGAGAGACTTGATTGAAATCATGGAACACGCAGTAGAGGCCCCAGAAGTGTCTGCCTTGGTAGTGGGTAAACTACCCCTAGACTGTAGGGCCCGGAGTAAAAGCTACTAGAGAACTTAAAAAAGCTTAAAAACAAGCCCTGAAAAGGTCAAACTGCTCAGTAAGTAACCTAACTCCCTGCCAGAACAAAGTCTAATACTCTTTAAAAGATTACAACAAAACCCAGTATTCCACAACATTCGATTCAAAATGTCAGGCATCTAATCGAAGATTAAGAGATATGCCAAGTGGTAGGAAAACATTTCATACAGTCTATGGAAACATACCCAGAAATGATAAAAATGATGGAATTAACAGACAAGTACTTTAAACGTCTATTATAAATATGCTCGAGGGTTTAAAAGAAAACACGATAGGAAACTGGAGAGATTAAAACGGAAGCAAATAAAATTTCTGAAAATGAAAAATATAACACCTGAAATAAAAATTTCTCTGAATGGGTTTGATAGCACATTAGGCAATGCAGAAAAAAATATTAATGAGCGTGAATACATAGCAATAGAAATTATCCAAAACGACTCAAATAGAGAAAAAAAAAATGAATAGAGCCTCAGTAACCTATGGGACAATATAAAGAGGCCTAATATATATGTAGTTGCAGCCCCTGAAAGGGAATGTGGATGGAGAAAAAAAAAAATTGAAGAAATAATGGACAAAAATGTTCCAAATTTGGTGAAACCTATACACTACAGACCCAAGAAAGTCAAAGAAGCCCAAGTTAATGACATTAGTGAAAAACAGTGATAAAGAGAAAATCTTGAAAGTATCCAGAGGAGGAAAAAAGGCACTTTTTTTTTTTTCCCCTTTTTGTCTTTTTTACTGACCGGCAATGGGATCACAACCCTCGGTGTTGCTCCCGCACCGTGCTCAGCCAGTGAGCGGGAACCGGTCTCCACATGGGATCCGAACCCTCGGTGGGAGCACCGCCATGCTCCCAAGCGGCGCACTCTCCAGTGTGCCACCGGGCCGGCCCATAAGGCACATTTTTATAGAGTAACAAAAATGAGCATTTTCATAGACTTCTCATTAGAAACTATGCCAGCTAAAAAAAAAAATGAAACAACTTTCAAGTGCAAAAAAACAAAAGAACAAACAGCCAAAAAACAAAAAACTGTCAACCTGGAATTCTATACTCAGCAGGGTGAAACAAAGACTTTTTGAGACAAACAAGACCAGGAAACCCACATTCTAAAGTAGAGCCATTCCAGCTGACCTACAGAAGGAAAAACAAATGCTTATTGTAAGCCACTGGATAGTTTGTTATTCAGCATCATTATAAAAAGTAGTTAACTAATACAGGGTCACTTCAAGTCACATGGCAATGGGTGAGGACATATAATTCCCTAATAGAGAGGGGGACACACTTGGAAATCTACCACAATTGGATATCACCTGTTTCCTCCTAGCTGAGCTGTATGTTTTCCTTCATAACTACAGATTTACCTTGTGTTTATAAACTAAGGTTTATAGGCACATGAATTATAATGATTTCTAAGACACAATTCCTGACATAACTTCTTTTACCAGGGACAGATTTATTCACCTTCTCTTCAGATAATGAGACTTTGAGTTCTGACAGACAACTGCAGAGAAATTAGAATTGCTAATCTTATCGCTCTCCCCTAGAAGATATCTTTTCTCTCAAAGAAAAAATGACCCCATGAACACTACCAGGGTCAACATTACACACATATTAATAAGTACTAATTACAAACTGTTGCACTTGAACTTTTTGGTTTGATACAGGTATCTCAATTTTTAGGTAAAGAAGATTCACTATCAAGGACTGATAATTGGTCTACATTAAAAATGCTGGGCTTATGCCTCAGTACCTATATCTATGGGAACACTAAAATATAATAACCATTTATTTATTCAACAACTATTTATTGAGCACCTTCTATGTGTAAGGAATGATCAGTGAACAAAACAACGAGAACTCTTTGCCCTAGTGGAGTTTACATTGAACTAGTGGAATACAGACAATAAACAAAAGAAATAAGTAAAATGTTTCCAGTATGGAGAAAAAACAGAAGAGAAAAATGGCTGGTGCCCATGTGTGAATGGGTGTTGTGATTTTCAGTAGAGTAGTTACGGAAGACTTCTCTAATGATGTGCCATTTGAGGAAGAGGTGAGCGAGCAAACAGAATATCCGGACAAAGAGAATTTCAGGCAGAGCAAGCAACAAGTGAAAAAGCTCTGAGCTGGGAACGTGCCTGGAACATTCAAGATATATCACAGTGACTAGTACTTTCCTTTGACTATGTGATATCTGCATGTAGGAGACCTAAATGTTTTAAAATATTGATTCTGCTGTAACTCGCCATATAACACTGGAGCAGAAATCCCAGTGATGCTAATGTCTTCTGCCTAAGAAAATATGTGTCATAGTTGGATAGCTAAAGGCGAATGCTTCCCTGAATGTTTTGGCTATAGCATAGCCTAAAAGAGAGATGTGAGAATTGGTTGTTCTCAAATTCCCTCCAGTGGAAAAATGCACCTGCCTTTCATCTAGTTACGTGTCCCCAGATTAGTAGTCTGCTGTCCATCATAGATTTGTGTATTGTTAGATACCAGGGTTTGTAAATTACTCTAAGCTGCACAAAATATGTGACCTTTGCAGAATAGAAATGCCATTTGTTTCTAAGTCATATTCCAATGCTGACTGGTGCCACGTTGTATATTTAGTTCCATAATTTAGGTCTGTATCTGAGCATGCTGCTCTGTCCTACTGGTCTGTGAGGTCTGTTTTATATCCTTCCCACACTGTTTTTAAGTGCTCAGCTCTGCAATATCTTAATAGCTTGTATTGCAAGTTCCTCCTCTTTACTCTTCTTTTTTTGGGACTTAGTTAGCTATTTGTGGATTTTTGGTCTTTCACATACATTTTAGGATAAATTTATTGGTCCTCAAAAATCCAACAAAATTAAGATTGATTTCACTAGACCAATTTGAGAAAAACTGACATATTATGTCATCCTATTGTGAAACAGAACTGTTTATTCAGATTATCTTTTATGTCTTTAAAATTTTATAACTGTCTCCATAGAGACCTTATACATTCTTGGTTAAGTTAATTCCTAGATACGTTATGAGTTTTTTTGCCATTATGAATGATGTATTATTTGATACCATTGTGAATGGTATATTATTTTTATTAAGGGCCGGCCCGGTGGCGCACTGCTGTAGTGCGCCACTTGGGAAGCGCGGCGGCGCTCCCGCTGAGGGTTCGGATCCCACATACAGACCGATTCCCGCTCACTGGCTGAGTGAGGCACGGGAGCAACACCCAGGGTTGTGATCCCGTTGCTGGTCCCGGTCCGGTACGGGGGTGACACTGAGGGTTGCAATCTGTTGCCGGACACGGAAAAAGACAAAAAAAGGAAAAAAAATAAAAAAACGGTACGGGGGCGACACTGAGGGTTGCAATCTGTTGCCGGACACGGAAAAAGACAAAAAAAGGAAAAAAAATAAAAATAAATAAAATAAAATAAAATTTAGGTGGCGGGGAGGAAAGGGGCACTGGGGAAAGAATGGGTGGGGCACATGGGGAATAATTGTATGTGCCCCATGAATACGTATAAACAATAAAATATATTAATATATAAAAATTTAGGTAGGTTATTTGTGGTGAAAAAAATACCATTGGTTTTTAATTCCTAAACTTTCTTATGAATTTTAATAGTTTTTTTTTATTCTGTTGGGTTTTTTTCTAAGATGATTGATTATAATTTTACAGATAATCACAGTTTCAGCTCTACCCCTCCTACCCTTATACCCTTTACATCTTTTTTGTTTCTTATTGCATTTGCCACCTTTGTAGTATGTTAGTAGTAATGGTGCTTTGCTGATTTCATGGGAAATGCATATAAAGCTGCTTTGTTTAGTTTATTGTTTTCTGTAGGTTCCAAGATCTTTTCCTTTAATAATTTAAACATATTACTTTATTTTCTTCTTGTATCTAATGTTGCTTTGAAAAGTATAATGTCCATATGATTGTTGATTTTTGTAGATAGTCTGTCCTTTCTTTCTGGAGACTATAAATTTTCTCATTGATGCTTTTACATTTTACTATAACGGATCTAGGTGGGGATTTTCCTTTCTGGTTCCTTTTT